ACCCAGGCCGCCCAAAGTGAACCAATTTGAGCTAAAAGAAGCTATAGGCATCATAGCATACACGCTCTATTCCAAACAAAGATATTCTTTAACCCCAACCACCTTCACATTGAGGAAAACAAATTTATTCCCAACTAACCCGAGCACCCCTAGCAGATCCATCTGAGCCCTTCCAAAGAAGCGAATTACACAACTTTTCAACCTGCTTCAGGACTTTAACGGGAAACAAGAATATTCGGCTCCAATAACTTTAGATGCTGAAAAGAACAGCTTGGATAAGCTGCAATCTCCCCGTAAAAGACAAGCATTTTGAAGGCCAACTACAGATCCTCCTAGTAATTTTCCTAATCAAGCCTTCACAATCCGAAAACGAAAGCCTTCTAGAAACCAAGGGAACCCCCAAATATCACACTGGAAGGGAACCAACACGAAGCCTAATACTCTCCCTCATACTAGTCAACCCCACATGATCAATCCCAGCACAAGAAAAATTCACTTTTACTAACATCCATCTGTAACCCCGACATCTTGTAGAACGCCTCCATAATCTTTTTCACAACCATTACAGCCTGAACATTTCCCTTAGTAAAAACCAAAAGGTCATCAGCAAAACAGATATGAGTAAGGCCTATCCTATTACATTTATGATGGAAATCCAACACTCCATGCTCTCATGCCAGATTCAATAATTTATATAAAACATTCATTAAAAAAAATGAAGGTATAAGGAGACAAGGGGTCCCCTATCTAACACCCTTCGCCTTAAAAAATAACCCACAAGGCCATCATTTAAACTAATTGAAAACTTAGGATGAGTAATGCACGCCCTGATCTACTCCCTAAACTGGGGGAAACCCAACATCCTAAACACCTGAAAAATGAACTCCCAATTTAGAGAATCAAATACCTTCGCAAGATCAACTTTAATCATGCAGCGAGCGGATCTATGCTTACTCCCATAACTATTTACCAACTCTTGCACAAGCAAAAAATTTTCCACCAAACCCCTGCCATTGATTTTGCAAAATTAGCAGGCAACCCAAGCTTCAATCTATTAGCAAGGATCTTAGTAATACACTTGTAGACAGTGGAACAATACGATATCAGTCGAAAATCAGAGGCCACTAGAGGGGTAAAAATTTCGGAACAAGCGTAAAAATGGTGGAGTTAAACCCAGAAGGCAAAGAATACGACAGAAAGAAATATTTCACGGTAGAAATAAAATCATTACCCACAATTCTCCAAGCAAGAAGAAAAAAACTCGCAGGGTGCCCTTCCGGACCAGGAGCCTTATTTTCATTCATAGAGAACAAAACACCTTTTATCTCCTTCGACTTTACTGGAGCAATCAAGCTTTCCTTAAAATCAGCAGGAAGTTCCCCACCCAAAATCTCACTGAGCAAATCATCCGAGATAGGAGCCACATTAGTATCAACAGACCCAAGAGCTACAGAAAAATGTTGAATCAAATTCAAAGAAATATCATCAAACTTAGCCAACTTCTGCCCCTGAGAATCCTGCAGAACCTAAATAGAATTATATTTCTATCTAGCAGTCACTTGCTAAAAGAAATAAGCAGAATTTTAATCCCGACTTGATAAATTAGACCCTAGACTTCTGCCTCAGGAACTTCTCTTCAGCCCTATAAAGCGCATCCAAGACAAGACTAACCTCTTTCTCACGAGCAGTATTCGCAATTGAAGTGCAACTCAACACTAACCTCTGTATTTCCTCCAGATCCCTCTGAGCTTCAGCAATCCTATCAGGCAACCTCCCAAAGTGCTCATTATTAAAAGCTTTGAGTGGACCTTTCAAACGCTGTGGTTTAGTAAAAAGAGCCACAAGAGGATTTCTACTCACCGACAGCTTCCACGAATCTTCCACAACTCTGAAAAAATTCAAGTGATCAACCCAAAAATAAAGAAGTCAAATGGCCTAAGCGGTCTACCCACAAGAGCCTTAACAACAATATGACTAGGGCAATGATCAGAACAATCAGGAGCAATAAATTCCACTTGGCGGTGGTGTTTGATTAGCTTAGAATGTTTTTGAATAAATTAGAATTGTGAAAGAATTGGAATATGTAGGAATTAGAATCTAATTTCATATTTTTTTTTATTGACAGGAAATGGAATTGGAATTCAATTTTATATTATGTTTGGTTCACAGACATGTTAGATAAATTTGATTTTAGTAATGTAAAATGATAGAATTATCTTTCTTGTTTTTTTCTTTATTTTAGTTTATTTTATAACTTATATGTAGTAATATATTATAAAAAATTAAAAAATATTAAATTTTTATTTTATTGATTAATTATTTATTTCAATAAATTATAAAAATCATGCTAATAAATATTATAAGTTAAAATTATCGTAATTAAAATATGTTAATAAGTTATCAAAAGATAGAGCAATATTTCGATACATTTCAATCGGAGTATGTTAATTAGTTACCAAAAAAATATACCAAAAACTATTTTTATTCAATATATGAATTAGAAACTCGATCCGATACGACTCAAAATAATAAAAAAAATATTTTTATTTAATAAAAACATTGACTTAATTGAAAAAAATTATATATAGAGGGGTATTATTGTAATTATTCTTAAATATATAAGGTAAAATTATATTTTTTTTTCGGGTCGGTCCGGTTTTTTTCACCCTAAACTCGAACCTGACCCGACCTGACTCGAATATCACACTTAAAAAAACCCGACCCAACTCGACCCGAATATCACACTTAAAAAACCCGACCCGACCCGAACAAAATAAAGTTTCATCCGACCCGACCAGAAATAATAAAAATTTATTTTTATTTAACAAAAACAGTGACTTAATCCGACCCGACCCGAATTATATATATTTTCGGGTCGGTCCGGTTTTTTTCACCCTAAACCCAAACCCGATCCGACCCGACCCGAATATTACACTTAAAAAAACCCGACCCGACTCAACTCGAATATCACACTTAAAAAACCCGACCCGAACAAAATAAAGTTTCATCCGACCAGACCCGAAATAATAAAAAAATTATTTTTATTTAATAAAAACAATGACTTAATCCGACCCGACTTGAATTATATATATTTTCGGGTCGGTCCTGTTTTTTTCACCCTAAACCCGAACCCGACCCGACCCGATCTGAATATCACACTTAAAAAAACCCGATCCGACCCGACCAAAATAAGGTTTCACCCGACCCGACCCGAATATATGAATTAAAAACCCGACCCGACCTGAAATAATAAAAAACTATTTTTATTTAATATATGAATAAGTTACCAAATGATTGATGAGGGTAGTATGATCAAATTTCAATTCCCTCCATCAAGGGAATTGAATTCCATCCATGGAATTAAATTTCGTCAGGGATTCCAATTCCTTTAAAAAATTTGAACCAAACATGAGAAAGTGGTAGAATTGAATTCAAATTCCCACAAATTCCAATGGACTCCATCCAACCAAACGCCACCTAAGGTTGATCAATAACATCAATTTCCTCTTCACGGTCTAGGAAATCTTGAATAACATCAACCCCATTGTATAAATATTTCAGTTTTATTATTATCTATTTTTTAGCAATGTGTTAAATAATAAACTAGTAAGATAAAAATCCAAGTATATATATTAATTATTTATTTGATTTGATCTTTAATTATCTTATTAATTAAATATCTAAACTTAAAATTCATACACCTATTCAAATATCTAATAATTAAAAAAATCTAAATTAACTTTAACTTATAATTAATTAATAATTACGATGAAATTGTGTTTTCTCTGTTAAATACTTTTATATAATCTAATTCTAATTCTGTAAAATAATAATAACTTTATCATCTCATAATTTATATTAAATTTTATTTAATTTTTTATTTTTACTTTCTATTTTTTAAAATTTAATAATAATTTATTAATTTAATATCAATTTTAGATTCCATTAATTAATGAACCAAAACATTACATTAATCTTTAAATAATTTAAATAATAATTTATTAATTCAATATTTCATTTTGGATTCTATTACCATGTTTCGAAATTATTAAATTATTTTTTAATTTATTTAAAATAAATTATTGATTATTAATTTAATATTTTACTCATAATTCTGCAATTAATTGTTGATATTAATATATAAATAATTACATTTTCAAAAAATAATTAAATGGTTATAGTAATTCATTAAGAATACTTCAAATGTATAGTTTTAATGAAAAAATCTCGTTATATGATATAATTTAATGAAAAAAATATCGTTATATATATATTACGATTTAGCTTAGAACTTTTAATTCTATAATTAAATGAAAAATTATACTTGCAGTCCTCCTATAAGTTAACTATTTAATTTAAGCTCTTTTAAAAGAAAATTTATAAGTTGAATCCCTTAAATGATGAGATGAAACTGTATATTCTTATTTATTCTTTTTCATTGATATTGAAACACAATTTGAATAGCAAACGCACCACACCCTCTAAACTTTTAACCCTTTGTGTGTGGCTTTAATTCTACAACAAAAATTCTTGAAGTAATATTGTTGGATAAGATATAGTTGATGTTTTAAATTGATAAATAAAAATTGTTTAAGTACTATATTATAAGTTATAGTTAAATGGCCAAATCACTATCTTATATTTTCTATTATTAAAAATCATTGAATGAATTCAATAGTAGAAGAGAATAGCGTCTTTTAGAGGACCCAAGATCGAGCGGTTGTGTCTATAGAGCGTGTATGCATTGTCAACGATTAAGAAATATAATGAACACATATTGTCTTATAACCATCGAGTACTATTAGAAAAGTCTTTCTATTATTTTTGTTTACAAATTTACGTTATTAATTTACTCCTGCATTCGGATCCATATGTCTCATTGTTATTTTAGATCTAAAGGCCATAATACTCGATCTATAATTTACATTACTACCACCACTATTTTTAATCGTATTAGAAGCAAAATCGTCAATAAAACCATAATATCGTAGAATGTTCTCTTGATTCATTACTTAGCACTGATTTCATTATTCATACGTGAAGCTTACATAAAACTTAAAAAGACGGCAATTTCACAGAACAAAGCATAGAACACAGAGTCATGCAACAACGTCCAACAATCTGCTAAGTTGGACCAGATCACTGTGATATTTTTTATTTTTAAATGCATAAAGCTAGTACTTATCGTTCATTAATGCCGTCGTTTTGACACCGGAAGTTACATCGATTCTGCGAGTCCTTGGTTGTAAGGAATCATGTTGTAGCAGTCGAGATTGTCGCCGGGGCTAATTCCGAGCATTCCAGTGTACCTTTTGTAGTACTTGATGCGGTCCTCTACCCTAGCGTCCGGAGCAGGAATATTGCATTCTAGGCCACCGTTGATGATATTCGTGAGCATACCGTACCCCGGGACCCTACCTAACTGACGGTCGTAATCGGAAGGTGTCCATATTCCGGTGATAACGTCATGGCATGAAGGCTTCGGTGGCTGTGTAGTCATCCAGAACCAGTAAGAAGCCTCAAAGGCCATCGTAGCGTTTCTTATTAGCATGTCGGGGTCTTGTAAAAGCTGGCCCTTTAGCCCTATGCTCTCTCCATATTGCCCGTAATTCGCGTTCCTGAGATATCAAATTTAAAATCATTATAATAACGTATAATGCGCTGAAGTTTTAGATCTTTTAAATAAGAATTAAAATTTTTAATTAAATCTAGTTGAAAAGTAATCGGAAAGTTACCAAGAAAGTTGAATAGGGCCCCGGCCACAATATCTTACACCAGGAACACATGGGTAGTTTACGTTTGCCGCACAATAGTCACTAGGGCATCCATCTTCCTTGTTCCAGCAATATCCCCAATAATCTGGACCTATATCTGCTGGCCATCCAGTTCCACCTACAGAATCATCAAATTCATTGTTCAAATGATACTATATTTTTTAATGATGTAAATCCATTGTTGTTTAAACGGAGGGGTTGTCACAAACGTTGTTTGTCTGAAAATTTTAAATTTTTATATGATATATATATTTTTTATATTTTGTTGATAATTTATTTTAATTCTTAAAATTTCGTTTTTTCTTAAAATTTTATAAATTTATTCTCTAGCATGAAATGTTATATCTGTCTCTGTTGTAGTACTGCATTAGATAACAGTTTTGAGGAAAATAGAATTAGACAAATCACCGGTAGTTTCGTGAGAAGTTTGGCCTAAGAAAGCAGCAACTTCCCTTTTCCGAGTTTCTTCATTGCCAGTCGCGGCAAAGTCCGGAAAAGACTTTGCGGCAGCTATGAAAGCGTCATAGGTGTAGAAGTTGACGGCATGGCACCGAGGGTCGTTTCTAAACGGAAACATCTCTTCAAACATTTCTCTTGATATAATCTTGCCGAGTGCGCCGCCATCGACGTCCGGGCCGGGTGGAGTGTCGGGGCTCGGCGGAGGAATGCCGGGGCCATCGGTGCAATTCATTTGGCAACCCTTTTCCACGCTGCAGTAGTCGTCAGTGGTGCCACACCAGCCGTATGCGCTACAACATAAGCCTCCTGGACAAGGAAGACCATGATTTTCCCTCCCACATTGAGCGGCTGTGACTAGGAGCACATGGGATAAAAACAAAGAGGAAACTAAAAACAGCCAAAATCTCATTATTTTGAAACGTAGGTAGATTTCTATAAACTTTGCGAGTGATGAGAAGTGCTAGAGGATCAGGCTTTATATAATAGATGGGATAATGGAAAAACGTGTCTTGCTCCATCAACTTTTAAATATTTTAATTTTATTTCTAAAATTCATCCTCCACTCATTTTTAAATGATAAAATAATTTCAATGACCAAAAATGCCTTATAATATACGATTTTAACCAACTTTTTTTGGATTTGCCAAAATGACCAACTAAATCGCAATGCGATAGTCGATTATCGCCAACGACTGGTGGTATTGCAGTTGTTTCTTAAGAATTTTCTCTAAAAAGATAGTATTCGCGCGGACGTGTCGAAGACACGTATTACCATTACCATTACCACGACCACGACCACGACCACGACCACGACCACGACCACGACCCGAGACGAGACGAGACGGACGGCGGCGGCGCGCGAGAGTCCCCCTTGTTCTCTATCACTCAACAAGGAAGTGGGAAAGCCAAGCCTTAAATACCATTCCCAATAGTGTTTCTAATACTATGTGGGATTTAGCATTACCAACACTTGTTCCCAATACTATGTGGGATTGAGCCTTAAATAGTGATATTATTTTTGAATGTTTTGCTTAAAATTGCAATAATCGCGATTGATTGTAGATTGACTTTTAATTATGACATATTTAATCGTATAATACTAATGCAATTGGTTGCTGATTCAGTTGTTTTAAGGTGCATGATTGTTAATTGTTTCTTGAATAATCACATTGTATTGGAAACAAGTGTTGGTAATGCTCAATCCCACATAGTATTGGAAACACTATTGGGAATGGTATTTAAGTCTTGGCTTTCCCACTTCCTTGTTGAGTGATAGAGAACAAGGGGGACTCTCGCGCGCCGCCGCCGCCGCCGTCCGTCTCGTCTCGGGTCGGGTCGGGTCGTGGTCGTGGTCGTGGTCGTGGTCCGCATTGCGATAGTCGAAGTTTGCGTTGCGATTTACATATTCGCATTGCGATAGTCGAAGTTCGCATTGCGATAGTCGAAGTTCGCGTTGCGATAGTCCAAGTTCGCATTGCGATAGTCGACTATCGCATTGCGATTTACATATTCGCATTGCGATAGTCCAAGTTCGCATTGCGATAGTCGAAGTTCGCATTGCGATAGTCAAAGTTCGCGTTGCGAATCTGGAAACTGATTTACGATACCGGAGATCGCGTTGCGAATTATCGATCACATTGCGATTTAGTTGGTCATTTTGGCAAATCCAAAAAAAGTTGGTTAAAATCGTATATTATAAAGCATTTTTGGTCAATGAGGTTATTTTCTCTTTTTAAATTGATCCCAAACTTTTGAATATTCCAAATTTATTTTCAAACTATTACCTTTATTCTACATTGATCTCTAAACTTTTGAACATTTTAGTTTTATCTTCAACCTATGGCTATCATTCTAAATTAGTCCCTAAATTTTTGAATGTTCTAATAACGTCCCCTAAAATGTAAATTAATCCCCAAGCTTCTAAATATTCCAAATTCACTCCCAAAATATGATCCTCAATCAAAATTGATCTCCAAACTTTTAAATATTATAATAATACCCCCAAAATCATTCAAAGGTTTAAGGATGAAATTAAAATGTTCAAAAGTTTAGGGATCAATTTAGAATAAGGGTCATGGTCTGGGGATGAATATGAAATGTTCAAAAGTTTGAGATCAATTTAGAAAACTTTTGAACATTCCAAATTCATCCCCAAACTATGACCATCATTCTAAATTTGTCTCCAAACTTCTTAACATTCTGATAATGTCTCCCAATATATAAATTGATCCCCAAACTTCTAACACTCCAAATTCTTTCCCAAACTATATCTCATTTTAAATCGATCCCTAACATTTTGTAACATTCCAGTAACGTCCGAAAAAAATTCAAAAGTTTAGGGGATGAAATTGCAATTTTCAAAAGATCATAGACTAATTTAGAATTAGGATCATAATATGAGGATGAAATTGAGATGTTAGAAAATTTAAAATTAATTTAAAATAAGAATTATAATTTGAGAATAAAATTAAAAATATTTAAAAATTTAAAAACTAATTTAAAATAGGGTAAAGAACGCAAATGGTCCTCAACTATAGGATACTGTTTTATTAAGTCCCTCGACTATTAAAGTTATAAAATAGCCCTTCGACTATGTAGTGTTGCTTTGTTGAGTCCTTCTACTATTAAAAGTTACAAAAATGATCATTCGACTATTAATTATATTCCAAACTAATCCTTTTTCGTTAAAAATGAACACTATTTTGAGCTGAACGTTAACTATTATTATTGTTATATGATAAAATTTGATCCCAAAATATCAAACGACTATCATATCTCAGTCATCATATTTACGCTCAACTTAAGCAATTGTAAAATTTTAACAAAAAAGGACGGGTTTGGAACACAATGAATAGTCAGGTGATCATATTGTAACTTTTAATAATCTAGGGACTCAACAAAGCAACACTCCACATTCAAATGATTATTTTATAACTTTTAATAGTCGATGAACTTAATAAAGCAGTATCCTATAATCGAGGCACCGTTTACGTTCTTTACACTTTAAAATAAGGGTCATAATTAAAAAGCGTATATTGCAATTAACTCTTTGCTATGATGTTTTGTTCTTTTCTTGGACCACAATGCCGTCTAATGTTATTTTCATACAACTATGACAATTGAGAAACGTGACGATATTATTGAAATTTGCTTGAATGTTTTGTTCTTTTCTTGGACCACTATTTCGTCTATTAATGTTGTGTTCGTACAGTTACGAAATATCATAATTGAGCTGCCACATTTCAGATTCTCATCTACAAGAAGACCAATTATTGCAATAAGGTTGGAAACATTTAACACGTGACCATTCAATTATTGCAAAAAAGGACATAATTTGAGTACCTATTTTAGCTTAAGCCTTAATATTTTATCAAAACTTATCATCTATACACTCGATTATGAAACGTGAGGATATTATTAATGAATAGTCAGGTGATCATATTATAACTTTTAATCGTAAAATTGAGAAACGTGAGGTTATTATTAATGAATAGTCAAATGATCATATTATAACTTTTAATCGTAAAATTGAGAAACGTGAGGGTATTATTGAAAGTTGCTTGAATGTTTTGTTCTTTTCTTGGACCACGATTTCGTCTATCAATGTTGTCTTCGTACGGTTACAAAATATCATAATTGAGCTACCACATTTCAGATTCTCATCTACCAGACGGCCAATTATTGCAATAAGGTTGGAAACATTTAACACATGAACATTCAATAATTCTACTTTATAAAGTTTGGGATTTTATCTTTTTACTTTACTTTCGGATAAAATATATTCGATATTATTATATCAAATAGATAATTTTATTATATCATAAAATAGCAATAAATTATTAAAAACTTCTCATTAAAGAACGTTAACCAATTATATGGTTGATCAAGTTCGACTTATAACCTTATAAAGTCCATTTTTAATAAAATCTATGACCTAAGGATGAGATTGGTCGATGAGTGATACAATCTACGCTCAATATTTAGATACCATATAATATAATATTTTAAAACAATAAACATAATGCCTCATTGATATAATTTAACACCATATAATATAATATTTTTGAGAGAAAGAACAAATAATTTAAGAAAACAATCGATATGGGTGGAGAACAAAGACTAAAATATTAAAATTTTAATTATAAAGAATTATATTTATTGAATTTATTTAAATTAATAAAAATTTGATAAAATGTGTAAGTTTATGAGACTATAATCAACTTCATTATTCCTGGATGTTTATAATAATATTTTAATTAAGTGACTACATTTAAAACTTTTTTAAATGTCTAGTTTATAACTCAACTATTTTAATTAAGCTTGAATTATTGCGCACTCCATTATTACCAGAGCCTTAAATCTCTGCTATTCATCCATCTCCCTCCCCTATAAATACCTCCGAATGCAAACATCAAGCCATACCAAAATTACTTTCAAATTATTCCTTCTATCAATTCCTTCTATCAACCTAAGTAGATTTTGTTATAGTTTTTAGAAGGTAATTTTTTTATTTTATTATATTTATTTTTTATTTAATTATTTGACTAAATTTTATTGTACTAATTATTTTCTATTATTGTTTGCGGCTGTAAAATAGAAGGCGAGATCATATCTCGAGATATTTTTTCGATAAGGTAACAATATTAAATTGTGTCATTAAATTATTGTAATTTTTTATTTTTTAAGCATTAGTTTATGTTTTAATTCATATACTATTTATTTAATTAAGTGTATTTTAGCTATTGTTTTTACAGATATAGGACTCTCAATCTTTCAAACTCTCAAAATGAGGTGTATTCAACTATTGTTTACTATGATGGAGAAATTCTAGAAGATAAAACTGGCGTTGTCTTTGCATTAAATCATTTATCAGAATATCCTTCAAGAGAAATATCAATCTTGAGGAGTTGATCACTAAAATTTCAAGGAAGGTTCATGTTGGAAGTAATAGAAGATTGTCCTCACTTCAGTATAGATTTCCAAATGCACTATTTATTTTAACTTATACAACATTTGAACTCTCCAACGATGACAATATTGCTATATGATTGATGCTCAAAATCAAAATTCAGACCCTGATACACAAATGTATGCCACATTTGTTGAAGTGTCTGCAGTTTTTGGTATGTCATTATGCTCCCACTATGGGCTAGCTCAACAAGTTGATCAAGTTAACAGCCCAACTCAAGTAATTGTAATGATTTTAACTCTTTAATGGGAAATCCACATAGTGGTATCATCCCATCAAGTTCAATGGGGAGACATTCATCAGCAACTTGTTACGATCTCCACTGAGGTGGCTCCACGAACAATCTGTATGGAAACTTCATTTCCAATTCAAGGGGAAGGAATTCATCTGCCGATTTTTTGACCTGAATATAGAAATGCCTTCGACACAATAATTTGTTCAGTACCCATTTGACACGATGCCTTAAAGTTCCAGTGGGAGGCATTCAAC